ATATATATATATGTATAATAAAAACGTAAAATCATTTAATATCTGTTAAAGTGTTATTTTGACATTGTAAATTAAAGCAGTTATACAAAAATATTTAAAGCAATGTAATTTAGAAAAAAACTTATCCCAGATTTAGTAAAGAAAAAAAAATTGAGGTTTAAAGAAAATGCGCAATGTTTGGAGGAATATGTATTTTACATAAAGCATCTATAATATACTTATGTATATATGTAAATTGATAATGATATAGCTTTTTTGTGTGCATTTCTTATAAAATAAAGTAGGAAGTATGAAGAACAGCGTACGATTTCGTACGATTTATGTCTAAATGTGCGTGTGTGTGCGTGTATGCATATACATGTGTGTATGCATGTATGTATGTATGAACGTAGGTCTATTTAAAACCTAGTAATCCATAGTACATTGTTATTTTTAGCAATATATACATTACATACATAATTCATATAATACCTATATACAATTAAAAACTGGAAAAAGAAAACTATAGCATAATTTTTCCCAGCTGCGCTACAAGCTAATAATTGCTTTGTCTTTCCCATTTTTTACCATGCATCTTAATTCGCCAAAAGCTTCAATTATAGACAAATTCTGTGGTTTTATCGCAATAATTTACAATAGCACGTAACGTTTACATCGTACACGACGTTAAAAAATATCATACATCTAACAAAATAAGCATTTTTCTTACATTTACTACAGGTTTTCACTCGCATATCTTATAAGAAATAGGACATTACATTAAAACAAATCAAAAAGATTCCCTGAAACTGCAAAAACCTCGAAATTAGATATTGATATTTATTGATGATTAATTATTATATAGTTTGTATTGAAAGAAAGTCATTAACTTGCGACTAACGCAAGAAAAAAATATACTAACAACAATTAGCTTTACTAAAGTTTTTACAATTATGTCTTTGGATTTGTAAGCAAAAAAAATAATTTTATATTTTAATTTCATTTTTAATTTCATTATTTTGTAAACTTTTTCATATGAATATGAAATATTCAAATATATGAATAAACCAAATAGTGATATTTTCGTAAGAAAAATTTCAATACTAAAAGCTGGAGCACACTTTGAAGAAAAATGCGCGAGATACAACTAGTTTTTCAACTCCATTGTCAAGTCTTTTATATTTATATTTTCATCTTTACATTAATTCGCTCATTCTACGACTTCATAATAAGCACTCAGAAATTTGCATACGATCTTATTACATAGGTTTCACGGTAATTTTTATTCAAAAAGATATATTAGAGCTGATACTAAAAGTGGGAAACGATGATAGATAATATAAACATTGATTTACATTTCATTTCACAGCTATGATTGTATAATTATTATATATATAGTTAATATATTAATATTGTTAATAATAACAACATTAATATTACAAAATTATTAATAACTAATAGTAATAAACAAAATTATCGTATTAATGACAATTAATAAAAATTTCAGATCTCTCATTTTACATATATTTAATATAAATTATTTATTGTTTCTTGTTTTATCACATGTACGTATAAAATGCAAATATATATAAATTGATTGAAAAGATTATCCAAAAAATCACCGTG